GTACGGCCGTCTCACCCTCCCTGCGTGTCACCTGTACGGCCGTCTCACTCTCCCTGCGTATCACCCGTACGGCCGTCTCACCCTCCCTGCGTGTCACCTGTAAGGCCGTCTCACCCTCCCTGTGTGTCCCTGTACGGCAGTCTCTCTCTCCCTGCGTGTCACCTGTACGGCCGTCTCACTCTCCCTGCGTGTCACCTGTACGGCCGTCTCACTCTCCCTCCGTGTCACCTGTACGGCCGTCCTACTATCCCTGCTCATTACCTGTACAGCAGTTCCTCTCTCCCCTTTTCCCTCCCTTCTCCTATCTTTCCACTTGCCTTGGATCTACTCTCTCGGTATAGAATGTTGGTGTGTCTTTCACTAACCCTCAATCCTACCCTTATCTTAGTCTTAGCTCCGTAGTTAATATGTGCAATGCTTTCTATCAGTCCTTCTGTTCCCAGAAATCTTTTGACTAAATGAAACTCACCGTCCAATAAATTTCTCTGCACGGGCACGTGTGTACAGTATTCCTGAAATTCTAGCACATTCCAAACGGATTTTCTATGACCTTGAAACTTGAAGGGCAGCTTGTTTTTCGTTACGTTTCTTAAAAATCACGTGCCACTGTTTCATTGGTTTACATGTTATTTTTGAGGCAGATCTAATTCTCTCCCCTTTTTAAATTGTTATTTTTTGTCTGAAGCCTCTGAGGATTTTTTTTTTATTTTTCAAGTGTAATAATTTTATAAACCACATCTCAAAGTTAATAATCCGTGGTCAATTTTCCTAGGTGCCCCCCTGGCCCTTTCAGTGTGTAGATTCAGTTCTTTTACTTGTGGAACTTTATCTTGGATTAGAGTTTTATTTTTTCTTCTTCAGTTAGATCAATAATTCCAGTATTTGGCCTCCTTCTCTCTGATCTTTTTTGTTTTCTTTACCTCATTTTCTTTCTCTTGGTTGTTTTCTTCTTTTATTCACCTTATTATGTTAAATTATTTGAACCTTTTCTCATTTCGGACCCTTGTCATCTGTTCTTTATTACTGGACTTTCCTCTGTTCTCCTGAATTTCATCAGCTCTCTTTTCATTTCCTCCTAGTCTCCTGTTGGTTTCTCTACCTAGTTTTTGTATTTCTGATTCAGCATAATTTCCAAATCCCCAGATGCAGATCAGAAAAATACTGAATTAATACTAAATGACATGTTAGAATTTTTGTCAGTGTCATGGTGGCAGAAAAACTTCGATTGGTAACTTCTGAAGTCTATCAGCGGTCCCCTGGGAGGCGGCCACTTGTTCTGTCTCTGTTCATCCCATGGGCAGGCGCCTTGTTGAGGCAGAGTCTTCTGTCAGTTCCGCCCTTCTCTGAGCAGTTTCTTTCATGCATGGTGTTGGTGAGGCAGGGAGAAAAAGGGTCTGTGTGGATCTTGCTCCCGATTTCTGCAAGATTCCTAATTTGTTATTTTATTTCCTCTTTGGCTTCTCTGCACTGCTTGTCTCCCAGGAGTCCCACCCCTCTCTGTGTGTCTGAGCTTCTCCCAGTCTGCTCTGCGCGCCCCGCCCCCCCACCCCCCCCACCCCCAGAGACATTGTTACGGATGCCTAAGTCCCCATCAGTGTGCATTCTGGTTGGAAATTAGCGCTTCGTTTTCTCTTTGGGGGATGCCTTTGATATTTTTTTCTAAGTCCTCTGTTCCCTTCCATCCTTTCTCCCTGATCTTTTCGGAAGCATCTCCCCTGATTTCTGCATCCACTGGTTTGTGGTGTCTGCTGCAGGCCTGTGGTGGGC